AGTTTCGTGCAAAGGTTCGTCAGACAGGTGCGAAAATTGAACTTCAGCGCGTGCGCAGTCGATGACGGCATGATGATGTGACAGGAAGTCCCACCCGAGGATAACGTCATGCGAGCACATTGAAAGGACGATGAACTCGACAACGTACATAGAGCCTTGGATGAATATGCGGGCTGTACAGGGGCCGAGAGGTCGAACTGGTTGTGCGCTAGCCGTACGAAGCGATAGTCCAGAGAGCGACGTGGTCACTTTGCTTAGGGAGCGGCAGAGCTGGGCGGCTATAACAGAAACGGCAGCACCTGTGTCGATGAGGGCAAAGGTAGAAACACCATCGACAGATATGGCGACGACGTTAGCAGGTGAAGTGCGAGGACTTGGGCATTTCGACAATGGCGCAGTTCTTGTCTCTGGAACTGCGGCGTTCAGTTTTCCCCGTTGGAGGAAGCGGGTCGGGGACGCATTGGGGACAGAGATCGCCTGCGAGGAGACGGCGAGCGGGGAGAGTGAGTCGGAGATGAGGGCTGGGGTGACTGAGACTCGGGAAAGTTATTGTAGCCATACTGCGGTGAGGGGTAAGGAGCAGGTAGGTGCGTGGGCTGCGGGTCATACGGTAACGGCCAAGTAGCGTTGTGTTGCGATTGGAAGCGACGACGACAATATCGTGCCACGTGTCCTGGAGTACCGCAGGCGTAGCAGATTGGTCGATTGTCAGCAGTGCGCCAGGAATTGCCGACTCGCGGTGCGGCCCAAGGTGTCGAAAGAGGGGTAGAGTGGAGAGCAAGTGCAGACATGGGGGGCAAATGCTGCTGGCGGGGTCTGCTGCGTACCATCTGGGCATAAGTAAGAGGCACGGCCACGAGCTGCATAGCCGGCGCATGGGGAACAGGCATGGCCACAGGCTGCTGGTGGGCAGCGGCGGGAACAGCCTGAGCTACCTCTTCAGCCATAACGTCGCGGAGTGGGGAGGGCAGACGAGAGGACGGCGGCTGCTGGGTGAAGGGAACCAACGACAGCTGCCGAGCTACTTCTTCACGCACAAAGTCCTTGATCTCTTGCAGGGTTGTTGAGTAATCAGGAACAGAAGTAAGACTAGATAGTGAGTCAGCGTGTGAGAAAAATGGCCGAGTCAGCGTGCGCTGCTTCCTTAACTCGTCGAAACTTTGACCTAAAAAAAGTCACAAGTTCCGCAACGGTGGCAGGATTGCGCGCCAGGAGCATCTGAAATGCGCCGTCATTTATCCCTTTGAGGATTTGTTGAATCTTCTCCGACTCGGGCATGGCGGTGTTCACACGGTTGCAAAGACCAATAATGTCTTCGATGTAACTGGTGAACGATTCAGATGGCTTCTGTGCGCGGGTCCGCAAGCGTTGTTCGGCTCTGGACTTGCGGACAGCGGGTCGGCCGAAAACGTCAGCAAACGACGTTTCGAAAATGGACCACGTCGTAATGTCGTTTTTGTGGTTGTTATACCACATTTCGGCCACGTCAGTGAGGTAAAAGATGACGTTAGTCAATTTATCCGCGTCATCCCACTCGTTGTTTGCGCTCACCAGTTCGTAGTCAGTGAACCAGTCTTCCACGTCGGTCCCATCAGCTCCGCTAAAGACCTTGGGCTCTCGCAAACAAAGAACGCCGGGGTTGCTGGGGGATGGAGTGGAAGAGCCAGGTTGCGCGTTGTTGGTAGCCATGATGGGAGGTAGCGTTCGGTTGCGCAGCTCCAGGTTTAGGCGACGGCGAATGGCACCACCCAGGTTCAGGCGACGGGAAATGTCAGCACCCTCCACCAATTGAAAAAGGATTTATTGGCGACTGTTGTGACGGTGGTCCGACGATGAAACACGATCGGGAAAGAGCAACGGTCAAGCAGATGCCGGCGATGATCAGCACGAGCCGAGCGAGAGAAGCCCAGCACCCAGTACCCAAGCGGTGGCGATGTTGCTTGCCAACGATGCGTTTTCTTCTTCACAGGAAAGACGGCGACGCCAACACGGTCCCGAACGCGCCACTGCTCTGATCTCCGCTGACACGGTCAGCAGCCGTTTAGTAGCATAGCTTTCTCAGCTCGCAACTGCTTCTGAGCAGAGCTGATAGACGAGCGGACGAGACGACAGTGAGTTAAACAAGGTTTATGTACAGCATAGATACAGAAGCGTAACAAATTCGGCACTGGGGCCGACAGTTTAGAGACTCGAAGAGCCGATCGAGTTCTCTTCTTTGACACATAAGTCTACTCTGGCGACGCGCCGCAGGGCTTTTTTTTATAAGGACTGAGAGGATTCTTTGAGTAACTAAATGTCCAACCAGAAGCACCGCTGGGCCGCGTCATTCTCGTCGAATCCGGAACTGCTGCGCTGCACCTGGCTGCACCCAAGGACGAGTGACGTTGCCACGCATCGCGTCAGACTCGCCAGACAGGAAGGCGTCGATTGCTTCGACGGGCTCGCTGTGCGTGCGCGACAGAAAGGCACCACTGCGTGATGACGTCGTTGAGTTGTTCGCGTCAGGCGGGCTCGCGTGCTGGCCTTGACACAGATTGCCCCTTTCCGAGGCATGGACGTTCGGTGTAGACTCGCAGGCATAACACCACCTTGTTTACGAGGTGTCTCCTAACGGGAAGAGTACCAGAGTCTTGGAAGAATGCTAACATCATCTTAATACATAAAAAAGGAGATGATAAGGACTTGAAAAATTACAGGCCGATCAGCTGCCCTCCGTATATAGTCAACACCACCTAGATAAGTTCAGGCAGGCCTCTTCACTGCCTCCGTGACGTCACGCACCTGGCCCGTCGACGCGCGCGCGCGCGAGCCGCTGCGGCGCGGACGCTTCCCACGCGGCGGCCACTACAGATGAGTAAAACATTAATTTCTGCATTGCCGCGATATAGGCATAGAATATAAAATTTCTGAACGAATGTTATTTCACATCAAGATGAAATAGTGCTGTTCCGCTCCATCTTGGCGGACGTAACTGCTTCAGATTGCACTTAAAAGAAACGTACACAAGTCCCGGGCACCTGGCAAAATATTTATTACAATGTAAGTACCATGTATCACAAGGAACATACGAACTTCCAGCTTTTAGCAGTCATATTGACATCTATGACTACATTGTGCAACACAAAAACCGAAACTGACAAGATTAAGCAAAAAAAACAAGGCGCTAGATTATTCGTTATAATGTTTCAAAATTTATCACAGTGAAAAACTTTTTTGCATCTGGTACAGTCATATTCACAGCCATAATCACATTATGGGGCAAACAGAAAAACACAACTGCTCTTTGAACGAAAGAAACTAGCTACTGGAGTATTTATTACAATGTATAAAGTGTATCACAAGGAACAAACATTTAGCATTTGGAGCAGTCATATTCAAAGCCATATTCACATTGTGGGACAAAAAGAAAATACGAACCGGCCAGCTTAAAAAAAAACTAGCCATTAGTAAAGCTTGCTTCATATTTTAGCGAAGGGGCCACTAGCAAAGTTTACTGTAGCGTTAGCAACTTTCTTTGCTTTGTACAGGCTTTTTCTTTCATGACACTGTCATTCCTGCAAGCGACATAGTTCTTTAGAAGCGTGTTGACAGCTGGTTTTAGAATGTTCTTGAGTACGGTATCTGGATGGTGGCCACTTGCACACATGTCCAACTCCTCGCCGTCGCTTAGTAGGAACTGCATGATGCTCAAGAGGAGCATCCTTTGGTTGGCTTCTGCATGAAACCGCTGCTCCTGTTCCTTACTGACAAGGTGCTCTAATACTATCTTAGTGCCAAGAACAACATTAACAACAAAAGGCTGCGGAAACTTCAAGCCGCCTCTGCTCATGCTGTCAATGAGTACGTGCTCACTTTGCTGCAGTTCTCGGTCAGTGATCATGAGCTGTGACTGACAATCCTCACATGGCTGACGTTTAATTGCAGCATGCGCACAATAGCCTGCAATGTATGCCAACGCAGGCACGTCAGTTTGTGATGCCTTCAGGTCACTTTGGGTGAGTTTGATGGCATACTTTGCTATTAGCATCTCGGCATCAAGCTCCTGTTCCTTAGGTGCCAATGACAGCGGCATGTCTTCCAGCTTTAAAGTGTCCTGCAAGCGAATCTTTGTCTCCGCTTCGAATACTTCTGTGATTGACACATTGTAGTGAGATCCACACATTTGGCGGTACTTCCCGAACCTGGCCTCGAGGCAATCTGTTTGAAACTTCCCCAAAAGGACGTACCTAAAGCCCAGCTCATCAAGGCAATACCGTGACAGCTCAATCAATGAATACGTGCTTAGCCGGAGAGCAAAGTGGGTCTCCTTTGTCAAACCTCCAGCCGTGGTTCCCCTCCGGCTCCACCTGTCAAGCCAGGTAATGAACTGATCAAGGTACTGAACTTGCAAACAAGACATATCCTTCATAGGCTGCTGATAAACATCACGTAGTCTGTGCCCCTTTTCTGGAGTCTTAACATTTACAATGCTCCACCACCTGACAATCAAATCAATAAAGGTGGCCGTTTCCTGCAGTGCAGCCAAATGCAATTTCTGCGCTTCAAGTGACAAAGCTGACGACACAAAGCTGTTAAAAACTTTCAACACCAATTTCACATTTTGACGCTCTAGGTGGCTTGGATAAAGTGCTTTATAGCTCAGACCATAGGCAACCTTTGCAAGCTTGCTTTGTTCACTCTGGTACAGCTTCCTCAAAAAAGTAAACGAAGCTTTTTGGTCCTCACCACTTCCACAGCTTTCAAAAGGAGGATACAAAAACGACTTGTCATCATCCTTCTGATTGAGCCAATTGTTGCGTATACACTTGAGCAAGTGAACAGTGTCCACAACATGAAACAATGGCTGCTGCGGGTTGGCAGGATGAGGAAAAACAATCCCTGGCTCATTTTGCTAGCTAAACAGAGACATCATTTTCCTGTTTATGGCATTGTTGTCTGTTACGACCGCAACAACATGCAGACCAGCACTTTCAAGCCTCATGATTAGTGTCTTTAGAACATCATGCAGCTTTATAAGATGAAAGCAAAGACTGTACCATGAACACGTGCGCTGTCTTTGCTGGTTCCGCACAATGCGCAGCAAACCCTGTTAGGCAGCCACCTTTATATCCAAAAAACTGTTGCAGGTGTATTTCATCAAGCATGACAGTCACATTTTTTTCATGAGGCTTCAGAATGGTTGCTCTGCGCTTAATGTACCTCAGAAAACCTTCTTCGCACTGCTCTTTCGATGGGCTCACATCATGTGCAGCACAAACTCGCTTGATGGTAGTGTCATGCGGCAAGACAAGCTTGTTGCTGTGGCGAAAAAACTTGTAAGCATGTGGAGGAATTGTGTGCAATATACTGCTAAAAACTAAAAGCTCTGCAGAATACCGCACGCCATTACTCTTCTTTGTCAGCAGCTTGCACTGCTCCTTCAGGAAGATTAGTGCGTCAGCCCTCTCATCATCATGCAGCTCATCATCACAAAAGTCATCCAGCAAGGATAAAACCAGCCTAAGCACTCCTCCCACCTTGTCCTCCTGTTGACGGGCTTTCTTTTCACAATATCGCTCCACGCTGTCTAGAAGGTTGTCCAGCACACGGACATCACGGACTTCATCAGGAATGCACACATCATCCGACACCAACGGAGCGCACTTAAAATACACGGAAACGGACAGATCCTCTGTAACCACCACAGATACAAGCATCTCCGGAGCTTGCAACGCCGGTTCGATGTGGGCGACGATGAGGCACGTCTCGCAGGCTGTTGTACACCAAAACTTCTTATTTGGACGCTCGTTAACCCGAGAAATCAGTTCACCCAGATTACAAACTTTGTACTGTTTTTCTTCTTTTTCAAACGCTGCTTGGGACTCGTGTATGGCTTTCTGGAGTAGCTCATTTTCAGTCCGCTTCCTTTTCAGTTCAGGCTCTTCTCGCGACGTGCGCGAATCCGAGATATACGAAGGGCAGTCTGGAAAAATGGCTGGGAAGGCGTCTGGAGTCAGCCGTGTCAACTTCATAGGAGCTTCAATGGTTCGTCCATCGCAGTCCGTATACGTTGACGTTGTGCGCAGGTGTTCCGACTTGAAGTGACGCTCGCAAACCTGCGCGTGACCGGAACAAAAAAAAAACACCAATTAGAATCTCCTGGGATAATTACGAGAAATCTCGTTAATTCTGAAGGGGTACGCTCGATGCAGCTTACCTTGGGGTCCTTCAACAGCCTCACGTCGACGTCGCTCCGTCGCACAGCCCGCTGCCATTCCGCTCTTCGCTTAGCGTCTCTCGGAAAAGAAAACAAGCGGACTTTCGGACCATTGTCATAGTTCCCTCGACAGTTGGGTACACAACACCGCCCCATGTCTCAGGATACATCGTCAACAAAATAAATTCGGCGGAAGCGGTAACTGCAACACGGAACAGCGCGCACGGCGTGGCCGCGTGGTCTCGTTCAACGACAGAGTGAAATAATTGTCACGGCTGCCGCCACCTGTCGGAGACTCGGACAACTTACGGCTCTGCCGCAAAGCTACGGGCTACCACGGTGCTCGCTCTCTCGAGAGAGGTCGCCCTCCTCCTTGCCTGTCTACATGCCCGGACACGCCGAAACGCTGCTGGTACGGCGTGAGCTAGGTGGTGTTGGCGTGAGAGGCTCGGGCAAAGTTGAATGACGTCACACGAAGGCGCGCCGGAGTGAAGAGGACTGAACTTATCTAGGTGGTGTTGATATAGTATACAAGCTAATTACAAAATTAATTGCTAACAGAGATAAGAAAACATTAGAATTCAATCAACCAAAGAAACAAGCAGGATTTCGAACAGGCTACTCAACAATCGACCACATTCATACTATCAATCAGGTAATAGAGAAATGCTCAGAATATAATTAACTACTATACATAGCCTTCATAGATTATGAGAAGGCGTGTGATTCAGTAGAAATATCAGTCGTCATGCAGACACTGCGGAATCAGGGCGTTTATGAAGTATATATAAACATCCTGCAAGAAATATACAGGGGATCAACTGCTACTATAGTGCTTCATAAAGAAAGCAACAGAATACCAATCAAGAAAGGTGTAAGGCAGGGGGACACAATCTCACCAATTTTGTTTACCGCCTGCTTACAGGAGGTTTTCAGAAGCCTAGAATGGGAAGATTTAGGGATAAGAGTAATGGAGAGTATCCTAGTAACCTGCGCTTCGCCGATGACATTGCATTGCTGAGTAACTCAGGAGACGAATTGCAACTCATGATTACGGAGTTAGACAAGGAGAGCAGAAAGGTGGGCCTTAAAATTATTCTGCAGAAAACGAAAGTAATGTACAACAACCTCGGAAGAGAGCAGCGCTTCGAGATAGGTAGTAGTGCACTTCAAGTTGTAAAAGACTAAGTCTACTTAGGGTAGGTAATAATCGCGGAGCCAAACCACGAGATTGAAGTAACTAGAAGACTAAGAATGGGGTGGAGCACATTTGGCAAGCACTCTCAAATTATGACAGGTAGATTGCCACTATCCCTCAAGAGGAAGGTATATAAATAACAGCTGCATCTTGCCGGTACTCAGCTATGGAGCAGAAACCTGGAGACTTACAAAGAGGGTTCAGCTTAAATTGAGGACGACACAGCGAGCAATGGAAAGAAAAATGGTAGGTGTAACCTTAAGATACAAGAAGAGAGTAGAGTGGATTAGGGAACAAACGGGGGTTTAGGATATCATACTAGAAATCAAGAAGAGGAAATGGACATGGGCCGGGCATGTAGCGCGCAGACAGGATAACTGCTGGTCATTAGGGGAACTAACTCGATTCCCAGAGAAGGCAAGTGGGTTAGAGGGAGACAGACGATTAGGTGGACCGATGAGATTAAGAAGTTGGCGGGTATCAATTGGCAAAAGCAAGCACAGGACCGGGTTAACATGCGAAACATGGGAGAGGCCTTTGTCCTGCAGTGGACGTAGCCAGGCTGATGATTATGATGATGATGATTGGTAGAGCGCACGAGCAGCCAGTTCTTGCTCTGTGGGGCGACAACTTGAGGCAGCCAAATATAACAGCAAATGCCACTTTCTATGGACGACGTGTTTGCAAACATGTTTTCCTTATATCAGCGTAATCTGTGACGCATGGGCCACAATTTACTGCTGTTCATAGCCAAGCCTCTGGGCTCCACCATCCTCCACGAGCTTCACGAAATCCAAACAGCTGGTCACTTTGGCATTTTGCACTTATGACCATGTGCGCAACCTCTTCTACTGGCCTAGCCTTGCACGCTCTGTGCGGCATTGTGTCAACGCCTGCGACGTTTGTCAGCGCCACAAGAAGCTATCGGGACGTTTCTGTCGGCCATCATCCATCCATCGACATTTCACCACAGTGTTTCCTTCAAGTCGGTTAGGATTTCCTTGGCCCCGTTCCAATATCCACTCAGAACAGCAAGTTGTTCGCCTTTGCTACCGATTACGAAACTCACTACGCAATCACACGAGCCCTGCCGACCAGCTGCGCGATGAAGGCTGCAGATTTTTTATGGCGGGGTTCACCTACTTCTGTAACGTGTTTCCGTCACAAAAATCACGTCGAAAAAATGCACAAGATCAGAAGAAAAAAATTCCATCAACGATAGTTGAACCCACGACATTTCGGCCAGCGGTAACACATGCTGGGTTCACTATTCACTGCGCCACGTTCACAGAGAATGTAAGTTTTAAACAGTATGTAGGTTATAGGTAAAAACATGCCCTTTATATCTACCAGTGCTCCAACTTCGGCAGTCTCGGATGTCATCGCGTGATTTTTCGTATGACACGTGCTGACGCCACCAGAATTCAGTTTTCGCGCTTAATTGGGCATTTAAGGCATTCACCTTAACACCAAAACTTTCACTCCACACACGAATAATTTTGATGTGAATGTTCACTGAAGCTTTGAGCGGTGCATTGGTGACAGGCCCATTTTGAGATAGTCTCACCTGCCTATAGCTTGTAGGCTAAAAGGGCCCTGCAACACTTTTTGAGCATGGTCATAAAACGCTGCCGATCGGTAGTAGAGGCTCCCGACAACACGCGAGCCAAATCTTATAGCACAGCACGCAGCCTGGAATTCACAATAAATTATCAAAGTCAGCTGAAAGCGCTTTTCTTTTCTCTCGAGAAATCACGTTATATGCCCAAAAAATCACACGTCAACGACCCATCTATCAGCAATTGGCTGATTTGAACATGGCGCGCTCGCTCGTTACAGAGATTGCCACGGGAGGCCGCTACTTGTCTAAGCGTGCGCATGCGATCACACTGCGAAAGCCGCGCATTAAAAAAAGTGCTCGAGGTCGCGAAGCACGCGTGACGTTTTTCTGTGGCCTTGCCATCCCTCCGTGCTAAGCTTTCAGCGCATTCATCAGGACGAGAAAAGAAAGAATGCAATTGCAGCATGCGACAAACCTTTGTAACTCCACTCACATTGGTCGAATTTTTTAAATTCTCGCGGCATTCAATTCGTGGGGAAATAAGCTTTTCCAATAGATTCATTCCATGGTTACTTCAAAAAGTGTTTCAAGGCCCCTTTAACCTGAGACGCCATCTGTTGAAAACAAACTGAAATTCAACTAAACATAGGACCAACTAGAAGTCTCAGTCCCGACACAAAGTGACAACGCATTGCAAGACGCAATTTTACTACCATCGCTCAGAAGCAATACTCCTTAGACGCGATCGTGAAACACTCGTCCGGATCCTGCACGTGCCTGGGCTTGGACAGAAAGAGCACGTGGAAAGCGGTAAGCACCGCAGCGAGTCCCGACGCGGCAACGATGACCCACGGCCAGCGCGACGACACCACCGGTGAGCTGAGATTCTTGCCGGCCCAAGTCGTCGACCACTGCCACATTTTTCTCGCTCCGGCGCCGCATATCAACCCATGCTGCACAGGACAAACACTGGTCAGGATTTCGAAGGGCACGACCTCAGGAAAAATATTTATGTAGCTAGCACCAATGGTGCAATGCTGAGCAGAGTCGCGGATGGGATTAGCTAATTCCAGCATGTTCTGACCAAGTGTGGCTTCATCCAGCACGGAATCATCTAGTACGGCTTAACCAACTATGGCTCGATCTGTATTTATCTTATTGCAACTTAATCCGGATTAGTATGGCAACATGCATAAGACTGGTTTTATCACGGAGAGTCACAATCAGCAGTTTCACGTTGTCACGTGATCATAGATGGCGGTGGCGAGCTTTGGGCTGGGCGGAGCCTGCGCGCCGCGACGTCGCTACAAGCGCCTCAGTATGTTCACGGCGCCTACCCTTATTTACAAACATGGAATAGGTCTATATATAGGAACACACTTGTGCCCCCCCCCTGCACACACACGCACACCCAGTAAAAAAAAACTACGCTTATAACCTTCTTACGTATGTCGTGCGGTAGTTCTAAATCTTCCCAGCGCGGGCCATCCAGCGTTTCCCTCGGCAATCGCGTGCTCGCCGAGACGGTGGTGCCATCTCTCGCGGGACGTGGGTGTCAGCCGGATGCTTCAAACGCGTTCTAAGGAACGTTTCACAAAATCATTACGATTAATGCTTCACACTTTCAACAGCTTACTATATAATTTTAGACCCTGTTGGTTTATATCGCGCTGCTTTCGACCACTGTTAGCCTTGTTTCAGTCCTCTATAGACCAATTGAGACATGAGATGGTGCATGGAGGACGAGAAAAGCCCCTAAACGATTTTCAAAAATAAACCCTGCTCCACCACTGTTTTGTTGATTAAAAGGGAAATACATTTATATTCACTATTGCTCACAACTCACACTGTGCGCCCATTTCGACGAATAGGGCGCTAGTCCTGATTTCCCCAGCCACAGGCCAAAGAGGCACACCACCGCCAAGATGACGACGATCCACGAGAGCCGCAAGTCCATGAGCCACGTGGCGCTCTCCACGGCCCTTGTCAGTAGCGACTTGCTCGCTGTGGCCCGGAACGTGGTCCACTACAATGCACAAATGACAAAACAGCGCGGAGACGTCGTAGCTGAACTAAAAGTGTCCTCCTCTCTACCACTGCACACTTTGGCATAAACTAATCAAACATTCCGCATGCCATACTCCAGCTTGTTTCCTTACGGAATCTACATAATGTCATTGCTGCAACTCCCATACGCATGTACACTGTCATCCTTTATGAAAGGAAACAGGCGAGAGCTCGGCCTGCGCACTTCGGTGGCTGCACGTACAACTCCATCAACCGAGAGCTGAAGAAAGCACGTTCGCTCCCGGGCGCCATCGCCCGCTTCGCGAACAAAGCGGGAGCGTAATCTCGTAGCGAATGTCCACCAGCCATGACTCATTGTTTTGTTTTCCAGTAGATGACACTCAAAACCGGCCCGGTCTTTAAGCTATCGGCCGATAGGATTGTAAGCAGAAGCAGAGTGCAGCCCACACGCTCACCTGTTCGCTTTCATAAAGAGCGACAATGTAGATACACTCATGCCCAATGCATGTTTGTGCGTATATATAAATATACATTAACACCCTACTTCGCGAGAACGAATACATCTAAAAATTCCTTTTTTCACTCGTACAATAACTGAATGGAATTGCATAATCGAATGGACACCAATATGCTGATTATTATTAATTTGTTTGTAGAGTGTTTCGGCAAACGTATTGATTCTATTTCTGTATTACTGTTCTTGTTTCATTTATTCTTTTGTTTTCGACTTGTTCAATGTTGTACCATTGTATTTGCCCTCCCTGATTAGACTACGTGTCCACAGTATTTCATAAATAAAGAAATAAAAATGAAAAATACAAAACGTAAGAGCATCGCATGCGCAGAGCAACACGGGTGGGGTGGTGATAAAAATCCCTAATCTAACCGCACAGCTAAAGCCGCTCTGGGAAAATTATTGCCATTGTTCTTACAGCAGCGATGAAACGGGGTACATGATCTTATAGGAGCCGTCCTGGGAGAAGGCAAAAGCGCCTTTTACAGCAGGCTAGGAGCATTCGAAAATACATTTTGAAACAGGCTTGTAGCAGCCAGAAGGGCCTTTTCGAGCATGCTCGGAGCGGTCGGAGAATACATTCAGAGCAAATGTAGCCCCTCTATGCTGAATTTTTCAAACCTTAAGCTAAACAGTGTAATGGTCTTATTAATGCGACAGCAACTATATGGACACACTTGACTGTTTTCGCTGTCGCCGTCATGTCCCATATATAGTTCAAACTGATAACGTACTCAAAACGCATCGTATGCTCTACCCGCGGGTAAAAGCAGGCGAGAGGGGCCGATGAATAGGACTGAAGGAGAATCAATCAAGCCGGCGCATCTTCGTCGCTCGGAGGCCGCATGCGATAACACCATCCCGTTCAGGAGGCTGGCCGTTGAAGCAGATGGAAAATACGCTGCCTGTCTTGATCGAGAATAAAAAGACGCAAGGGGGATAAGGAGTCTCACTCAAACCACAACTGTGAAATTCGCTTCGAAGGGTGCGGCCTTTGTAGCCGTCTGCTGAAATCCCTTGAAAAATTACAGCAGCAAGGGCCTGCCTGCTGATGTCATGATGAACATTGTGGTGTGAGCTGTAGAACCAAGCCCCCCCCCCCCCTTCTTTCCACAGGTTTGTAAAAACTCTAGCATGTAATTTTCGCCACATAACCTCCTCTTGCTACTGAGCGATATGACTGCTCATGGATACACTTCCAGATTTTGTCTGTAGTATATGCTGTCATTTGTTGGTAGACGCGGATATATCCTCTCAAGTTTTTGCGGACGCTACACAGCACTTTTGCCAAACTTAAACAGCTCGGCTGTTTAAACGCTGCTTGATGACGACAACTATATGCTGTTTACGTACTTACCACACGGTATTATTGCCACTGTTTAAAGCGCAAGTCTTAGATGCTTCATCAAAGTCAAATTTGGCCGGCGTCAGCGGCATCGGTGTCCCGGTGCGTCAGGGACAAGGGGTGTTAAAAACATCATCGCGTAATGATGTCACGACGGCGTCCCAGATTGCCATATTTGTGACGTCATCGTGACTACATTGTCAAGCCACGTGACAACGCCACACGATGAAGTTCGTATCCCATCAAAGTGGTCCCATCACGGAGCCAGTGCGAAACCAGCTGAGCTGCCTCCAATCGTAGAGGCATCGAAGTCACGTATAAGGTGCAGTGAGCTATCGAAGGGTGGCAAGGCAGGACTCATAGGTTTATCTAAATAGGTCGACTGGGAGAAAAAATGAAGGAGGTGGTTTTCGTCTTCGAGTCGACTCAAAGGTCGTGAAAAAGTCGCTACTAAAACGACAATGAGGAACCACCGACAGTCATAGCGTTTCCTATGAATACACTAGAGGGAACTCTGGCGCCAGTGTTTATGGGAGTTGCAACACACGGCGCTTCAGCGAACATAGCGATGATGGGTAGTACCAGGATTTGTCTCATTTTCGTACTTTCGGCTCTGGCTGGCTTCGCATGGCTTGAAGTTGCTTTGTCATGAAGGGGATTCAATCGGCAAACGTTCAGCCCTTGAACTTCACTATACTTTAACCTTTTAAGCTCACCATTTCAAATTAGCTCACAAAGTTTATAACCATCCATTATTAAATGCGAGGCATTTCTTAGCGAACTTCGGTTACTTTGAGCGTATCTATTTATCTATCTAGCCGCTTACGTTTGGGTGCTCTCTTGGTCACCCCCTTACCCTGGCATGAACATAAATTATCAAGGGAGGGTAAGATAGTTTGACGAATATGACACAATGGTCAAGACATGAATAATGTCACAATCCCATCACGTACGTCGTCAAACACTTCCCACCAGACAGTGGCACATACCCTCGGACAGATATGTGCCGCTGGTATGCGTGTATGTGCCACAGGTGATAGACACTTTCAGCATCTACCCAGGAACTACGAGAACACACATGGTCAATTTTAACGTGGGAGCGTTAAGAAATACCCAACATCCGTAGTGTCCACCTGACGAATGCAAAGAATAAATGTCAGGGTCCCAGCTGGAATCGAATCCAAGCATTCTGCATGGTAATGAAGCATTCTGCCACAGAGCTACGCCAGGTCACAGAACTACTTTTCAAATAGTCGCTAATCTTCGTGAAAGTTAATAGTGGTTACATTTGCTTGGTCACTTGGTCACGGCAGCGAGCGAAGTGACCGTCAGGCTCTCCTGAATAACGTGTCTGATAAGCATGCGCGCAGGAGAGATCATGCCCCATGGAGGTGCACTTTCAAAGAAACGCGAGAGGCGACCGACGCGAGCTGGGTGCGACATCCCGAGCGCTACTGATCATGAAAACGCGGTGAATTGAGGAGCTCTGAGGACTGCCAACGACATATGGTGTATATAAATGGCTTGCCGTAACAAACTCGACAACGTACGCTCCCTGGCTTAGTGGCTTGCGTCGCGCACTGCAAAGTAAGAGGTTGCTGGTTTGACGCCCTGTTATGGAACTTATCCACCTCGTTTTAAATGCGAAGCATTTCTTGGCGAGCTTCAGCGACTTTGAGCGTATCTGTCTGTCTGTCTGTCTGTCTGTCTGTCTAAATCTATCTAGCCGCTTACATTTGCGTGCTCTTGTGGTCACCCCCTTTACTTAGCGTGAATCAAAATTAGCTCGAGAGGGTAAGATGGTTTGACGAATACGGCACCGCGCTTGTCAAGACACGAATAATGTCACAATCCTCTCGCGTACGTCAAACACTTTCCGCAAGACAGTGGCACAAACCCACGGGCGGGTATGTGCCACAGGTGATTGACACTTAGCTTCTATCCAGGAACGACCAGAACACACATGGACAATTTTAAAGCGTGAGTGTTAAGAAACACCCGACGTCGGTAATGTCGACCCGGCGAGTCGAAGCTGGAATCGAACCCAAACATTCTGAGTGCCAATGAAGCATTTTACCACAGAGCTACGCCAGGCCTTGGAACTACTTCTTAAATAGACGCTAATCTTCGTGAAACGGTAATAGTGATTTCAGTGCTGCCTATCCAATTTTATAAACATTGCATATGTACTATTTTGATACAGCCGCCACGTCGGGTTAACGTCAGATGTAGTTAGTTGCCATGCGCTGAAGTTGATTTATGTTGCAGTGTCCAAGGCAAGCATCTTTGCGAGCATCAGCACGTCATACCAGCTTCTGGTGTTGCTAATACGCATGTTCCAGTTGGCATCGTTGTGCAAGTGGAAACAACTGGTTATACAAACATCTGCGACTCTTCAACATGCGTCTGTGCATACAACATTTGTACATATATTTAACGCCATTTCATGACATGTCGCTCAATTAAAAAATTGCAACAGGGTCGCCTTCCCTCCGCATGCTTCGCATAACGTTGATTCCCAGGTACCTGGGACCTGCCAATTTTTTTAACATAGATAGCTTACCGCGTAAGTCTTTACTGGTGTTGGCCTGGACTTGACTACGCACATCACGAGGTAGCCGATCAGCACTGCGATGCCCATCACTACGACGGTCAATAGAAGCTGCGAGAGCGGGAACCCGCCCACGCACTCGGCGACCCGAGTGGCCGCCGACTTCCATGGGACGCGTATCTTGGCGGCGTACGAGATCCGCTACGGCGCACGGCAAATACGAACCCCAACATCAGTTGATTGATTGATTAATTGACTGATTGAATCTTTAGTCAAGGCAATTTACGATTGTCTTAGAAGAGCTCGTGAAAGACCCGAGGAGTGCCTAACTAATGGTGTCATCGCTTGGCGGATTCGGAGTGGCCAACAAACTCTGTGCCGGAGCGTTCCACTCTGGTGCAAGGCAACAGAAGGGAATCTGCCAATGGCACCATTCAGTCGAGTTTTCCAGTCTGACTACAGCGCCGGAATACATAGCCTAGCGGATAAAAAAAGAAACCTTGAGATGGCCTCGGTGAAAATGGAACGCGACGTGAGCGTCTCGGGCCCTGTGTCTGTCGGTGGATTGTGCCCGGGATACATTGGGGA